TAATTGTGGATCAGACTCTATTTTACTTGGTGATGGTTCATGCTTACCTGTTGACGGAATTGGATATTCTGAAATTCGTCAAGATAACTTCAGTTTACCATTAAATAATATTTTATATGTTCCAAGTTTAAAGAAAAATTTGTTATCGGTTAGTCAACTCACTTCTGAATATCCTGTCAATTGTGAATTTACTGATAAAGATTTTTGTGTTAAGGACAGGAAAACAGGCCAACCGTTGATAAAAGGAAGGCGTAAGGGAAATCTTTATGTCCTTTCCAATCAACCTGAGTTAAATTTCTCTCACCGTTTCAAGTCTGGCTCATCTAATATTTGGCATCAGCGTTTAGGACATCCACAACACTCTACTTTACTACATCTCAAGAATAATAACCTTATTCATGTCACAGGCCCAACAAAAAATGAGCACGTTTGTGATAGTTGTCAACTAGGAAAACTTAGTAAATTCCCCTTTAGCAGTTCTGAGCATTCAAGTACTGATATTTTTGACAAAATTCATTGCGACTTATGGGGTCCGGCTCCAGTTTTATCACTTGGTTCTTTTCGTTATTATGCATGTTTTGTTGACGATTTCTCCAAATACATATGGATTGTTCCTTTACGATTGAAATCGGATTTATTTGATGCCTTTATCAATTTTGAACGGTATGTTGATCGACAATTTAACAAGAAAATCAAAATACTTCATTCTGATGGGGGAGGTGAGTTTGTTAATAAACGATTGTCTACGCATTTTTTGTCTTCTGGTATTATTCATCATAAATCGTGCCCATATACACCTGAGCAAACAGGTATGGTTAAACGGAGGCATCGCATGATTCGGGAATTAGGTATGACCATGTTATTTCATAGTGGTGCTCCTCTATCTCTATGGGTAGAAGCATTCTCAACGGCTGTGTACCTCATTAATAGGTTACCCTCTTCCGCGCTTAATTTTAATTCTCCTTACCTCATATTACACGGCACTCACCCCACATATAGCTCTTTACGTGTTTTTGGATCAAAATGCTTTCCGTATACTTGGGATACTCGAAAAAATAAGTTTCATTTTAAAAGCATACCTTGTGTTTTTATAGGTTATAGTGATCAATTTAAAGGCTATAAATGTTTTCATCCACCAAGTAAAAAAATATATATTTCACGGCATGTGGTCTTTGACGAATTATGTTTTCCTTATAAAGACCGTATTTCTTTCAAAATTAACACTGATCGTGTGAATAGTATTTTTGATTCTTGGTTGCCTACAACTAACAATTTTCTTTTGTCAGACTCACCCTCCGGTAGTGTCACGAATGACTCTAACTTTATTGACATACCTCTTTCGCTACCTCCAAATCCTATTCCAGATGTAGATCACCCCAACCATGATACTTCATCCACGCCTACAAACACTGCACAACCTAACACCACACTCGCTTTGCCTACAACTTCCAGCCGAAATGATAATCCTACCCTGCATACTTCTTTGCCTAATGAGCCACAAATTCGAGTTTACCACCGCCGACCACGAGCAGGTTTACCATCAAACGCCCCGCTGCCATCTTCCGACGAACGTCCTCCAGTTCTTTCCTCGTCAATTGAAACTGCCCCTCAACCTCGTCACACTGAACATTCTATGCTCACCCGGTCCAAAGCAGGTACCCTGAAGGCTAACCCAAAGTATGCACTAACCATGACTCTCTCAAGTCCTGTCCCTCGAGAACCGACCAATATACGTGCTGCTCTTAAACATCCTGGATGGTATGATGCTATGAAAGAGGAACTTAATGCACTTAATCAAAATTCCACATGGTCTTTAGTTCCACCATCCCCCCATATGAATATTATTGGATCAAAATGGGTATTTAAAACAAAATTAAAACCGGATGGCTCTTTAGATCGGCTTAAAGCTCGTCTAGTAGCTAAAGGTTATCATCAACAAGATGGAATTGATTATAATGAAACTTACTCGCCTGTTATCAAACCTGGTACAATTCGTTTGGTGATAACTGTTGCACTCTCTAAGCAATGGCAAATCCGCCAACTGGATGTCAAAAACGCGTTTCTCCATGGACATATCTCTGAAACTATTTATATGCAGCAACCTCCAGGTATGAAAGACTCTAAATATCCACATTATGTTTGTAAACTTCACAAAGCACTATATGGCCTCAAACAAGCACCTCGTGCTTGGTTTGATCGTTTCAGCATTTTTTTAATAAGGTATGGTTTTTTTTGCAGCAAAGCTGATCCTTCTCTTTTTATTTTACATTCTTATCATGGCACACTTGTGTTATTATTATATGTGGATGACATTCTTCTTACTGGATCTAATACCTCCTTAGTTAATTCTTTTATTAAATTACTTAGTCATGAATTTGCTATGAAAGACCTTGGTGAACTACATCATTTCCTAGGAATTGAAGTTTCAAAAACTACTCAAGGTTTGCATCTTTCTCAATCACACTTTGCACTCTCCATTTTAGAACGAGCCAGCATGACAGATTGCAAACCAATGTCCACTCCTTTAGAAATAAAAAATAAACTTCATGAGACTAGTTCCCCTCTTGATGATCCGAGCATGTATAGAGGTCTTGTTGGAGCTCTTCAATATTTAACACTTACACGACCTGACCTTACATATAGTGTTAACTATGCATCTCAATTTATGCATCAACCTTGCACATCTCATCTAAAAATTGTTCGTCGTATCCTGCGTTATGTGAAAGGTACCATTCATCTTGGCCTACATCTTATTTCCCACACAACACTTGATCTTAGTGCTTATGCAGATGCAGATTGGGCTGGTTGTCAGGTTACTCGACGCTCTACTACAGGCTTTTGCACGTTCCTTGGTAGCAATCCTATTTCCTGGTGTGCAAAAAAACAGCATACAGTCTCCCGTTCAAGTACAGAAGCTGAATATCGTGCCATGGCTCATACTGCCGCTGAACTTACTTGGATGACATTTGTCTTACAAGATCTACACGTCCCATTAACTTCGACACCAGTCCTCCATTGTGACAACATTAGCGCACTCCATATGACAATTAATCCAGTGTTTCATGCTCGTAGCAAGCATATTGAACTTGACTATCATTTTGTTCGTGAAAAAGTTGCAACCGGACAGCTCATCACCAAACATATTCCGACGCAACTCCAAGTCGCTGATATTTTTACGAAGTCATTGCCCAAAAGCGTGCTTGGTTTCTTTCAGACCAAACTATGTCTACGTCTACGACCCCAACATAGTTTGAGGGAGGATATTAAGGCCAATAAATCAGCCTGTGATGAGACCTCTGTTACTTAAAATAAAGTTATGGAGGAATTGAAAATTCAACATAAAAGGCAACAAGTAGATCCTACCCTTGATTATATCTTAACCTTTCTAAAATGATTTTATTCCTTCTTTGTAATCTTTTTACCGTTGGACAAATCTCTATAAGAGACATTGTATAGTTAGAAATAAGATAGCTTGTGTTCATCGTTCCTTAAGCTTCTTTAATAAAATTCTTTTTCCTCCAGACACTCTCTTCCTTTTATCTTGCTCTCTTCCTTTTATCTCACATAACATTGTGGATGAGGATGACCTCAAAGGTTTGTCTTATTCAAAAGAAATAGCATATCATCTATTCAGTTTAACCATAAAGTTTAACCATAATCTGACAACCACAGACATAAAATGACAAACAATAATAAAGTGGCATTTGGCATCAAGAACAACTCTTGTGAAATGATGTAAATGACAGTTTGAAATTTCAAAAGGTATTCATTGAAATAGTATGTATATATATAGTTATTTTGGTGAACATCTCGGTGAGCTCTTGACTCTTGGTTAGACGTGGGAAACGGACCCGGTCGACTAGCTAGGTTGGGCCCATTGACCACGGGCTTTAGACCAGCACCAGGACTGGGATCTGGTTTTGGGCAGCCCAGTTCCAGGCCTAAATTAAAAAAATGGCATGCCAGTTCCGAGCCAAACGAGCCCTTGCCAGAAAGTTCAAAATGTGAATTTAAATTTTGAATTCAAGCTCGATGTCTCAAGTTGTCGTGCCAAACAGTTTATCTACCGATGTCGAACCAACGGTCCAATTTGCACCGACCCGAAAATGGCATGCTATAAGGCGGGAGCCAAGCCGCACGCCTCACGCCATGGAAAATCGGATCCTTGTCGCCTCCGCTCGCCGCGTGCTATTTTAATCGGAAGGGACATTATCTCTATTAACTATTGAGTTCTCCACTAAAAGATTTGTTTGCACCCATTTAAATGTACTTCACATTTTGAATCCATCATGCGACACGGTCTAGGAGTTTCGTAAGGATCATAAATCAAATTTATGACAATATATGAGGGCCTATAGGATCACACAGTATACAATCAATTTTCAACTAAAGTGAATCCAGAGTTTTGACTATTTAACTAAATTGAAATATTTAAGTATGAGTAATAAGATTACTTTCTATTTAATAGAATGATAGAAAGTATTTAATTAAGTTAATTATATTTATAATTCATTAAATTATTAATTAGATTAAGGTCCATTGGGCCATAGGGTTTCTCCTACGGCCCATTGATCAACATTAAGATATCAATGGATCGAGAAATCGCAAAATCTGAGACTAAGAGATAGACACAAAGACTGACTTTCTGGATTGAAGATTCCTTCAGAGGATCGTGAATCAGAGATTTGGATTTTGTGGTGCCATAGTCAAGGACAAAGCTTATGAAAACCAATAAGTTTTCATTTTATTATGTTATTATTCAGGTTATATAAGGTCTTATCGAATATAATAGCTATAATAGAGTTCAATCTTCGTTGTTGACAAGAAAATTTTAAAATTCCACAACGCGTGCGTTGGGTCACACGTCAAAGTTCCAACAGACCTCATTATCCATAATACATATCGACTCAGCAACAAAGAATTTCAAATAAACAACTCTGCCCCAAAGTGTCTTGTAATTATAGATCAAGCAGACTGTGTATATCTATATTCCTAGACTAAAACTAAAAAATTTAATTGAATTTGATTATAGGATATCGTTTGTAACTAACAAAACAAATAAATGCACACCTGAAATCACGGATTCTTCGTCCATGGACCTCGAAAACTCCAACTGCACCATTCACCAAAGCAAATGCAAAACTCTCTGAAAATTCATCTTGGGATCCGTCTGCTGATTCCTCTACAATTCAATTCAAGAACTCTGCATGTAAATGTTCAGGGGAAAAAAATGCTATGTCGAAGTACAGTTGTAAATCAACAAAGAATGTACAAGCAAAAATTGTTTACTAGCATCTGTTGATGATTTAGTTGGAGTTGAGGTCTCAGTTAGGGAGGTGCCAGCACGATCTGTGGATAAAAAGGAAGAGGTCCTTGAAGGTTTGCTTTGCAATGGCCTTGGAACTGTTGGAAGAGTCCATTCAAGAACGGTAAACGGAAGTGCTAATGACCTTAGCTGCATGATCAAGTCACAAATTTGACCGTTACGGAAAGTAAAGCTTGAAAGAAGTAACAAGCATTAAAGCACAGAAGTTTTCTTTTTCAATTATAAAAAGACAACTTATTATTAAAAGTGGGCATTGAGCTCACAGGATTCAACGAAAATAATTCAGAAGTTGACACATCTTTCTACAGTTCCTTACTTCCATTACAGCTAATAGAATCTCAGTTCTCTAATAATTCCTCAAGGAAAACAAAAATGAAAATTTATTTGGGCTTGCTTGTTTACAAATATGTTGGTATTTTATTTTTTATTTTTTTAACCATGGTTAATTTTGAAAAAGTTTGTATTGTTGTTTGTGGGGTTTTAAGTTTGTATTAAAATAATATTTAAAATAAAATGATTCAAATTGATTTGATGTAAAAGTAGGGAATAGATGATTGGAAGTGACATGTAATTAAAATTATGTGAGTGGATGAATAGTGAACTAAAGTTGATGTGATGTGTAAGAATGATTGATTGATATTATTTAATTATACTAATAATATTGAGGATGGTAGGGTTGGGTTAAAGTTGAGTTAGATTTTGAATAAAGATTGGATTTATTTTTTTATTTTTTATTTTTTGCGTATATTTGTAAACAAACACTCTTAGGTCATCTTGCACCAAAAATTAAGTTTTTCCCCCTCTTACTTTTACACCACTTTAATGAATGCGTATTGTTTAATGACACCTCTCGATACACATTAAAATATAATCAAATTTGAAAAATATCACCCATGAAGGAAGAGAGAACAATCATTAAATCACAATTCACAACTCAACATGGGGAGATAAAAAGGAAAAATAGTTGAATACTAACCATCATTGGTGTCTTTGTCATAGCCCAGACCTCAACAGGTGCATCCCGGAACATAATCAAAAGATATCTGAAATAATTTGTAGCCATATGAAGGATGGATCTCAAAAACAATTTCAAAGAAGTTGAGATGTACCCAGATGGGAGAAAAAAGAAAGAAAAACCAAAAATAAATGAAACTTTAGTGAATGTATACTAAAGTTTGTTTACTATTTGGAAATAAATCATTAGCAAAACTGTTTAAGTCATTCAACATCCATTTCATCACCATTCTTGATGTACTTGAGGAGTGATTGTTCTTATTTGGAAACATAACAGCTACATTGTAAAAGTCCTCATTCATCAATCAATATAGTACTCAGGTCATGCCAAAGAAGATATTGAACTCTACAGTTTAGCTCCGGTCTCTTAAGTTAAATGTTCATCCAATAGGCATTCAAGGCTAAAATCAACCTAAACTTATGTGCAAACATCACATCACGAGCTTTTCTAGATGAGGCGGTCTTTCGAGTGATCTCAAGTGTAAAATCAAATGAGACGTTTAGCCAGGAAATAAAAAAAGGAAAAAAGAAAAAGAAAAAGCAGCCTTTTCCCATACACCTTAAAACTTCCCTGATACAACTCCAAACCAGAATTAGTAAGTGTGACACCAGAAACTGAAATACAGAGATTGAACTGATCAGAAGATTACATTAATGTCCACTATATCAGTTCAGCTTACTTCTCTATCTACCTAGAGCCATTAACTTGTTTTAACCAGTATCTTGACAACTTTTCACTTCTTATCTAATGACCAAGCTACCCGTCCGAAGTCGGAACCACATGTCCAAGCACTAGCATCCCAGCCTCAACTACCCTCCTCAAAAAAGCCACACAAACAGCTCCATTCCAGATCAACAAGCAGAGAACAGGATTTTCATTTATTTTACTAGAAAAAAACAATCGGCATACTTACTACAGGAAAGAAAATAGCCCCATATCATCCTCAGTGTTCCATTATATACTGATACTAGTCTTCAACCCTGATCAAAATATTTCCCCATCTAAACCAACAACAAGCCCTAGCTCCCCACAGTATTGGATCTCTACCAACCTAAAGTAAGAATGCCCTCCACAATTCTCTCTAACAGAAATATCATAACTTCACCAGATCAACTAATCTTAGTACTCCAGTTCCAAATGAGGAAACACGACCCTGGCAAACCCAACTCCAACTATCCATCAGACACTAGCAACACCATCCATTCCAGGTCAAACAATACATATCTCCACAAACCAAACATCATAACTAATCAGTGGGGTTTTTGTTTATTTAGCCTTTTTTTTCTTTTTCAGTTTTTATATTTTCTCAAAAAATCTGAATCCAATAATATTATGGAAAAAAAAATTATGAATATCAACACTGAAATCTGTTAATATTTTTGCTGAGTACTATTATTGAGGTATCTGTAGATGAGGAAAGCAGTGGGGAGGAAAATGATAAGCAGGATATACATACAAATACATCAAAAGACCAATTTTATATCAGTTTATATGAAATCAAGGATTGAAAATAAACATAAAAAGTAAACAAAAATAATGACCAAGGAATCAGCAAACCTGCCAGAAGATGAAGCCCGTAATGCTCTTATTGGTGCTCGCTCTGGCTTTTGTAGTACTCGAAAAGTTCGATTAAGGCCACTTCTTAAGCAAGTTATAACAAGCCTATTAACATATCCACCTGTTTTCTCTGTTACCTATATACAAATAAATACTGTAATTGAAGCTGTAGTTTAGAGAGTCACAAATTGAACCGAAGAGATGTGGATGAGATTGCTTAAAAAGGTCAAAAAATTGTATGGACATAGCAGTTATTACTATCTCCCAGTAAAGACAGTGCTTGAGCCTTCAGACTGTTCAGACCTGCGTATAAGAAAATGAAACGAGTCTTGAATTGCCTAGCCAACGTAATCCTCTGACCACACTGCTATGAACAGAAAAACTTGCAGCAACAGCATTGGCGGAGATGTCGACCACATCAATCGTGCCACTTTGCGTTCCTAAAGCAACTAGCGGAACAGCAATAGCAGGAGAGTTTCCACCACCTTCATGCAGTCCATAAATAAGTAGTTAACAAACTGGTGCTGAACTTTTGAGAAGCTTATCATTAGGTTTAAAGACTAGACAACCTTCCAGAGGAGGGATAAGAAAAGGGATTAACAATTACAGGAAACAATGGAAGATCACTCACGTGCCAAAATAGCTGTCAATGATGGGGATGGTACAGCCAGCATAGACACAGCTGACGACAAAAGATGGACCTCTCCCATTAGATTCACCTGCGATATTAATACTATAAAATTACAATATATTCATAGGAAAGACAGAAGCAGGATTTAGGACCAAATCTCTCAGTTAAAAATAAAAAATAAACATGTAGGTCCTGTATCCTTTTCTCCTTGCAGATCGACAAGTTCGTAGTAGCTGATTAGAATCATAAATACCAGTACAAATTTGGAAAATGGAAGGTAATCAAATTGTTCTCAAATAATTCTTCCCCACCAGATCACAATCTGGCCCCTAAAATAATAATAATAATAATAATAATAATAATAATAATAATAATAAATAATAATAATAATAATAATAATAATAATAATAATAATAATAATACCACCAAAAGAAAGTAACAATTCCTAGAGCCTCTTAAATCTTAAGATATCCTTCCACATGAGAATCACAATCAATCGCAACTAAATTGAATTACGTAATACTTCTCTAGAATGGGGTTGACATTCCAAATATAACTTTCTGCTTAAACTGACATATACCAAGACTAGTCATGACCCAAAGCAAAAACCTTCAGAGGCTTGATGCATATATGTTATTCAATATTTGCTCAATTGAAGTGAAATATCAAGGTTCCCATAATGATTTTGGCAATCAGTACTTGCATGAGATAAAACAGACTTGCAAAACATCACAGGTACCAACAGCAGAAAACAAGAGAATTAGCCTGCTTGAAGGAATTCTGACTCTTAATACATATAAGATTCATAATACATATAAGGTTCACTAAACCACAGACCTTAAATGACACTTCTTCAGCAACAATAGTAGGGCAGGATTTACGGTTCTCTATGCCTTTCGTATCATATAAGTGTGTCATTGTTTTTGTAGCATGTTCATCGACAGTAACAACTTCTGATTTGCATTCAAATTCAGGGGGTTCTGAAACTTCACATACTTCATCAACCTCTTTCACCTTTTCTCTATCCCTCTGGCCGTCCTTAGGCCCCTCAGCAGTGAGGAGCCATTTCCACACGTTTCCATCATCCGAAATGGATATCAAATGTGTCTTAGAAATCACAGAAGTTTCATCAAGGAAATCAAAAGAGTTGTCAAAATTCAGATCATGTGAATCTGCGTCAGGACAAAGCTTGCGAATGTCTAGGAGAGTGCAATCCGATTGGGAGATGGCGACTGCAAGAAGTAAGGGAGAAGGAACAGTTGTGCCAATTGAGGGCATTAATTCATCCACTGAACACATAATGTGCGCCTGCTCTCCCCTGAGTAACCGCAAACAAGTATGATATCACAAGTCCTGGTAAAACTTAGTTAACAAAAGATATTACCAAACGGAATGAAATTGTAAAGGTATGTCTCCACATTGTTAACCCGAAGCTTTCAATCTTTTCCCATCATCCTATCTCATCGTTCAAATTAGATCTCATAAAAATTGATAGGTCGTGATCTAAGATGCCACAATATTACTAAAATCATCACACAGTTTATCAATCCTGGAACCTGGTGAAAAGTTAAAAAGGCCCATATATCAAAATTGTTGAAACCACAAATCTCTACCATGAATTTTTCGTAGCAAGTTATATACTCCAAGAAGGTTAAGTTTATCTTACTGTTGGTCCATCAACATTATGCAGGCATCATTTCCATAAAATCTTTTAGAAACGATGTTACAGGATAATGTTCAAACACAAGGAGACATTACCATATGTTGTTACTCGCATACAACACCATGAAAAATCGACACGAAATTCACAAACTACGCATCGGTCAGGGTTCAGCAATATGCTTTAAGATAAACATAGCCAACAAAAAGGCACATCCAAAGTAAAGTCAACATGCGACACTCACTCTTTCCGTCTCCATGTACTGAGCTTCCCATCCAAATGGGCACAGTAAAAGACCTCCATATTCGCGTCCGGCAACACCTCCAAGAACTTGCCGCAGCCCCTTGGCAGGCCCCCTGCAAACAACACTGATTCATATTGCAAGTCAAACAACACCAGCTCTCTCGGAAATCCAACCAATATCACATGCTTCCAGTGTGGTGAGAATGCAAATCTCACCACATAATTGGGAAAAATGGCAGATGCCGGTGCCCCATTGTTACTGCCACTGCCGACAGAGGAATCTCGCTCCAGCCTCTGCAATTCCGAGGTGTCCGTAGGAATCTGAAGCTCCCTCAGTACAACATCGTTTTCAGAATCATCACCCAGCAATTTAACGGACAGCAGGAATCCCTTGAGCCCCAGGGCACAGAAATGGCGGGAATCGAAGGGATCACGGCGCAGACATGAGAAGAACTCTGGAGAGGCGTCGTACTTGAAGAAGCACCTCCCAGTGGCGGTGTTGTAGATGGAGAGCAAAGAGGGTCCTGAAATGGCGGCGAGGGCCCAGGCATCGAGTCGGGTCTGGATCCAGCACAGATCCTGGATACCTAATTTCGAAGAATTGGGATAATTCGTGTCGAAGAAGAGAATGGGAGCTCTGGAGCGGAAATCAAACAGAGATATGCGTCCGTGGCGGTCGCCGACAGAGAGAACGAGGTGCGGGGAGGTGCTCTNGCTTAGAATTAGCTCAGTGAGAGCTACTGATGATGAATGAGTGAAACAATGGCAACTCTAGAGCCAGTGGGAAGAAAGAGAAGAAACAGAGATTTGGAATCTCAGAAATAATGTCCAAGCATTTTTCAGACACTCGAGGAGTAACCCAAACAGTGCCCAAAATTAATTTGAAAATTTGACCCAAAAATGCCTTGAAAATGGAGGAAATAAAGCATTATGTGGCGTCTCTTTTACTTTTTATGAGAAATTCTATTGCGCTCATACCATAGATTTATTTACTAAAAAAAATAAAAAAAAAAAATAAAGTGAACAAAAAAATAAAGAAAAAAGAAAAGAGTCGACCAAATTAAAAACCAAATACGTTATACTATTGAAAATGTATTACCATTTTCAAAATTAAAAATTAGTTAACTTAATTATCGTAATTAACTTAATTAAAATATAGGAAAACATATTTGCTAAATACGGTAAAAAAAATAAAATATGTATTATACAAATACGTTTTTAAATTAAAATTAATTTTATGTATATTTTTTAATTATAAAACATATTTATGAAATACGTTCGAAAAATAAAATTAATTTTTACAATTCTTAAAAATAATTTTTCTAGGAAAAAAATTTTCAAAATATAAAACGTATTTTAAAAATACGGTTTTCATGTAATTTTGCCCCGAATTGATTTTGGTGCCCTAAATTTAGCCCCAAATTAATTTGCCCTAAATTTCCAAAGTAAACGTATTCATTAAATACGTTTTTTGTTTTAAAAAAACGAAAAACGCATTAATTAAATACGGTTTTATCTGAAATCCTATTAACAGCCAAATATACCTGTTCACAACCAAATACACCTGTTCGAGCAACTAATATCAACATATTCGCCCAATAATAATCCAACATACCATATAAACAAACAAATGAATCACAATAATTTGTCGAACAAACAATATATACAAAACGATATAATTCGGTTTATACAGACAATCCAACAATTCAAAATGAACACAAAATACATGAATTCAACAAAACTAACTAAGAAGGAGTGTATGGATCCCTAGGCTTGCGCGCTCTGGACCCCCTCCGAGTATATACCATGTGAGAAGAAGACGAAGGTTGAGGTGTGAGAAGTGTGTCAGTTTGAAAAGCCTGCTCATTTTCATCTTCTTCATCTCAATAATTCAATTGAAAAAAAAATCATAAATTGGAATGTAAAAATAAAAAAAAAATAAAAAATTGTTAATTTAAAAATCTCACCTTTTTGAGGCTCGAGCTGCTCATGTTGGAGGTGCTGGGCGGACGGCTGAGCGCGGGGACGTTCCCGAGGTCTTCTACCCCCACCAATGTTGGGGGAGGGTTGATGTCTGGCCGTGTGTGACTGTGTCCTCATGGGGCGAATGTATTCGTCCTGGGAGAAAACTTGACTGGACGGCTGTTTGTCCCATTTTTGTTACGTTTTTTCTTATTATTTTTTATTTCTTTTTCCCTCATTTTAGGTCTTTTCGGTAGTTTTTATTCGTTTTTATAGGTTATTGCCTGTCTTCTTTTATGTTGGCTTTCTTTGTGTTTTTTCGGTCGTCTTCCGGTCTTTCTTCGTCTGTGGTGTGCAGGTTGAGTCCATGGTTGATTTTGATATGGAGGAGAAAATTGATTTGACGAGCATTATCTTGTAGAAGAGTTCGTTGGCATCACACAGGAGAAAACGGAATCGAATTCCGATACCAGGCGAGCCCGAACGACTCTGAAACGTGAAGTCGCACCAACCAGCCCAAGCTCCAGCCCAAGTCCCGCGCCGCTAGGGACCATCACGCCGCAACATCATGGCAGCCTCACGGCGCGGCCAATCTCGTGCCACCCGACACGGGCCTTCAGAAATTGTCTCTGTGCACGCCACACTGTAGAGACCATCACGCCGCGAGACCCTTTACCCTGCCACGCCGCGCTGCAACTCGCGGCACACGCCACGTCTGGACAGAGGCTGCACCCAACGCCCAGCCCTGCGCCGTGAAGGAGCCTCGCGCCGCGACAAGATCCTCTCCCGCGCCGTGTTGAAACTCCGCGCCGTGGCAGAATGGTGCCTCACGCCGTGCTACCATATCCTCCACGCCGAGACCTGCTGTTAATATAAATAAGCGACCGGGCCTTTGACAAAAGGGCTCTCTCTCATTCGACGAACACAGAAAATCCTTCCCGTCTTATTTTCTTTCGCTCTTTTCATTTTTTTTCATCGTTTTCAACGTAGAATAAGGATTTAAGCTCGGATTTCATTATTGCTTCCAGATTTCAAGCTTGTTTATCGAATTCAACTTTAGAATTTATCAATCGTAAGCTTTTCTTTTAACTTAATCGTTAATTATGAATTCTTGGGTTGACATTGCTTGTGTTGATTATTCGATTATGAGTAGCTAAATCTTTATGCTAGGGATAGAGGATTGATGTTTTGAATTCGTTTGCAATTATCATGTTGATGTCGAAAATCGGACGATGAACTTATCAAATATGAGTCGAGCTTCTTGTATAAAAATGAAGAATAAAATTGATGGAAATAGTATTTCTTTGCATTCCTTAGGAGAGTATTTCTCTCTCTCTATTGTGTGTTGTGGAGGAAAAATGAAAAGATGGAAGAAGACCCTCTCTCTCCTCTCTCTTCTCACATATATATACATGGATTAAAAAAGGCTCAACTAATACACTAGCCTTCAATGTGCGGTGACAATCGGGGGGCCCACTTATGTCCTTTGACGGCTTCGATCGATGTTTACTTGAGGCAGCTTCTGATTTGATCGGTACCGAGAACCTGTCTGTATATTTATTTATTTCGTATGTCCGGCTCCTCGGTTATTGGGCCACCCTTTATTATTTTATTTATCAATTATTTAATTAGAGCCAAATTGGGTATCAACAGGAGGCCCCGAGTTTAAGCCATGTTCTGGATGGAACTGTTCTGAAGTCGCGTTTATTCTTTACAATTTGGCAGTGTTTTTCGCCTTATGATCTTTTGAGCTTCAGGCTCTTTTTATGGCGTTAGGATTTACGTCTAATGAGAGATATTAGTGAAATCGCAAATATGCCGACGAGTGCGCGTGTCAGATAATTTTCACGTGATTCAAGAGATCACATTTATCTTGTCGGCTTTTACTTTATGCATCTCGAGGACTCATTTAATCTTTATCGAGTAACTTTGGTTACTCGGATCGTTGTTGTATTGTTTTCGGGCTCTTTGGGACCCTTGCGCGTTTTGTTGATCATTTCAAGCTTTGCCTGACGTATTTACGATAATCGCGCTTTTTAATCTTTTGACGAGTTGAATCAGTTTGAGAGAATGGACAATTTTGCGAATTTGCTATTGGATGGGGCCTGAGCGGCCTGGTCGGGTAACTTGGTACCCGTTTTTATGCAGGAATGCATTTTGAATTGTCGACATGAGTGAGCTTAGAGCTCTTTGTCTGAGTGAGCTTTGAGCTCTTTGTCTGAGTGAGCTTTGAGCTCTTTGCTCGATTGAGCTTTGAGCTCTTTATTTCTTACGAGACTGTATGCATAATGCGATCACATGTGGAATGCGTGAATGTATGATGAATGTATGTGATGAATGTATGATGAATGTATGTGATCAATGTATGATAAATGAGCGCACCTTGTCGCATATGTTGGGCCGATCTGTTTTTAGAGTTCGGTTTCTAGTTTTAGGGCACTTCGGCCTTATGGCTCGTAGGCCTTTAGATTTACGGCTTTTCGGCCTCATGGCTCGTAGGCCTTTAGTTTTACTGCGTTTCGGCCTTATGGCTCGTACGCCTTTAGTTTTACGGCATTTCGGCCTTATGGCTCGTACGCCTTTAGTTTTATGGCATTTCGGCCTAATGGCTCGTAGACCTTTAGTTTTACGGCGTTTCGGCCTTATGGCTCGTAGGCCTTTAGTTTTACGGCGTTTCGGCCTAATCGGGCCCTTTTGTCGAGCCCGGTTTGTGCAATTTATTGCGCTAATGATTACGATGACACATTACCCATCCGATCCGCTCGCACGGTCGGGTGGTGGTCTGACCTGGCCGAGATTCATGATCGAGCTTGGCACTTATTTATTACCTTTTTTACGTTGACGACTGTGGCCTGACCGGGCTACGTGACTGAGCCCGGCTTGTGCCGGTCGGGCGATCATACTGACCCGACCTGTACATAATTACGTGGCAGCTTACCTAACCGGTCTCGCATTCGGACTCGGTGGTATTATTGGCCTGACCGGGCTTCCTAGTTGAGCCCGACTAGTGCCGGCTGAGTCATCTTACTGATCCCGACCTGCACGAATTTATTACTCGGCCGAGCCTTGTGATCGGGCTCGGCATTTATTTATTACTTTGGTGCGTTACCTGTCCGACTTGCCCGTTGAATCGGGCGACGGTCTGGCCTTGCTGAGCTTCGCGTTTGAGCTAGTTTATTCATTTCTTACGTTGGCGATATTTGGCCTTACCGGGCTACTTTGCCGAGTCCGGCTCGTGCTGGCCAGGCCATCGTACTGACCCGACCTGCACATAATTACGTGGCAGCTTACCTGACCGGTCTCGCGTTCGGACTCGGTGGTATTATTGGCCTGACCGGGCTTCCTAGTTGAGCCTGGCTAGTGTCGACTAGGTCATCGTACTGATCCTAGCCAACACTTCGTTCCTTACGTTAATTACGCCGCTTCGACACGATCTAAGCCTAAGACGACCTAGCCTCTAAAAGCAAAAGGTAAATTACATTCTTGACCTAGCTCATCGAATAATCTATACAATAACGTCACTTACTGAGTGAGAATAGCCTAGACCTATTGGTAGGACTTCTTCAGAAACGCCGAGTTTTATGGGTATTGATTGGCGCGTGCCGTCCAGGTGTTCAAGTCGGTAGGCCCCGTGTAGGAGGACATCGTTGATTTGATATGAGAGTGGTTTGACTTGGGATTTGGCGTATCTCACGTTTCGTCTGTTACGTACAGCTTTTATGAGCTCGGCCCATAGTGCTTGTCTGCGAAGTTGAGGCTTGCTCTCAGGGACTCGTTGCGCCGGCGAAGTATCGACAGGCCTGGTGGAG